CCCGCCCCACCCGCACCCGTCCCGCAGTTTCATTTTTAAAAAGAAAATTGTTATAATAGTGATTCGACTGGATGGTTATAATAGTCTATACCATTTTACTTAAAACACATTGGATAGTTTTTGAACCTTTGTTAACTAATTTAAAATACTACAACTTCATTTCTTATAACAGTGATTCGAGTATTCGATTGTTTGCCCATCATTTGGATGTTGAAAAATTCGACTGGTATCTTATAGTATGCCACTGAGAAAACGTTTTTAAGAACAAACACTTAAAATTCATTTGCTGAGGAATAGTAAGAATTCTTTTTAATTTCTTCATAGTAACACATATTCATTCAGAATTCAACTTTCTGCTATTTTTTAAAATCTCTAAATAGTTATCAACAAAATAAAATTAGATAATTCATTTGTTCTCTTTATATACTCACTAGTCACTACTTTAAATCTACCAAAAGCAAATGAATTTTAAGTGTTTGTCCTTAAACCTCTCGTAAACAACACCACCCCAAAAACAAAACAAAAAACAGATTCAAGAACTAAAGAAAGTTCAGTATTTTCTATAACCAAGTGAGCTCTAGCTACAGCAATACATGATGAAGAACATATGTTCTAGAGCTTCAAAGGAAATTATGACACATAAAAATGGTACTAGAAAATTAGAGGTAAGAAGAGAAAATCACAAACAATACTCTAGTTTAGCTAGCCTGAAATTTCACTTCCAAATAGAAAAGTGAAGTGACTCAAATTACACAACCATAAAAAAAGTGATATTCAAAATATCATATTCTCTTCCTCTTCAAAGAGGTTACAGACTAGTAAGCTCACTTGAATCTGGTTCTTCCTCTTCTTTAAGTAAAGTTGGACACGAAACTTTGTCGATACTTGAAGTTAAACCTGAAAAAAGTATAAATGTTAAAATGGAAAACTATCAATACCATAATAAGTCATTGAGAAAAATACTTACCATTTATTTCATTCCACAACCAAGTACGAGCACACACCAAAGCCTCCAAAGTAGTAGGATGAAGTCTACTACGATGCGGACTAATCAACCTCCCACTAGTGCTAAATGCTGATTCTGAAGCGACAGTAGAGACAGGAATGGCTAAGAGGTCACGAGCCATCTTTTGCAAAGTAGGAAATTTTAATCCGTTTGTCTTCTGCCAACTTAAACTGTCAAATGATGGTGTACTAGGTAGCAAACTTTCTTCTAAATACACATCCAATTCCGATCTTGTGTCCACATTCGCCCTACTCGACGCGACAAATTGATCAAAACTATAGAACCAATCACCATCAACAATACCAACAACTTCATTAGATGCTTGAGATGACTCATGTGAAGTAAGTTTTCTACTCTGATACTCTTGAAAGAGATCAAAACAATGGTTTCGAACTTCTTGAATTTTATCCAAAGAAGCTTCTTCACCATAAATTTGTACAAGATAGAATTCCACCAACTTTATCTTATACCTCAGATCAAAAATAGTAGCTACACCCATCAATATATGTACATCGTCCCAATATTTTTTGAATTTCAACAATATTGACGTTGCCATAGAGCTAATCAAAGGATTTAAACTTTTTACCCAAGCTTCTAATTCTAGCTTAATGTCACAAACTTTTGAAAAGTATTGAGTTGAAGTTGGATATTGACTCCCCGAAAATTGTTCGGTGACATGATAAAAGAGCTTCAACTTTACACAAACTTCTTCTGCTGCACTCCATTGCCCTTCGGTTGGAAAACAACGATAATTGGTATCATTCATACTCAACTTAGAAAAAATCTCTTTGTAATCTAAGGTTGTTCTCAACATTAAATATGTTGAGTTCCAACGAGTAGGGCAATCATACTCTAACTTTTTTGTGCAAGAAATATGTAGCAACCATGCAGCTTCTTCAAACCTTTCAATTCTGCCTGAAGACCCTATCCAATATAAGACACTGTTGCGCACGTTACTGATACCATCTTCTATCACCTTTAACCCTTCTTGCACAATTAAATTTAAGATGTGTGCGGCACAACGCACATGCGACACTCGACCCATCAACAACAAATCTCTTTTACAAAGTTTCTCATCTAACAAGGTTTTCATCATAACATTGTTTGTGCTAGAATTATCAACAGTAATTGTTGATATTTTATTCTCAAGATTCCACTCTAACAAGCAATTGAGCAACGCACCACATAGAGTATCCTTATCATGTGGAGCGGGAACATAAATAAATCTCAGGATATGACTCTGAAGCCTCCATGAATCATCAATAAAATGTGTTGTAATAGCCATAAACCCTTTTTTGGTATTGTCTGAGGTCCACATATCAGTTGTTATTGCAATTTTACTTGTGAGTTTTTCCAACAACTTAGAAGTTTTTGATTTCAAATTGTCAAAACTCTTTAAAATATCATTCTTGATTGTGTTCCTAGATACCATTTTAAACAATGGCTGGAGACTAGCAACAAACTTCCTAAATCCAACATGATCAACAATGGACAAAGGGTACTCATGTAAAATAATGACATGAGCAAGTTCCCTACGTGAAATATCTTGATCAAAATAATGTTGTTTGCTACCATCGTTCCCCCTAAACCACCCTTATCTTCTAAGTTACTTGGCTTCTTACGACATCTACGAATATGATCCCACAAAGATGATGTCCCACATTTTCTTGTTGATTTGATACGAGTATTACAATACTTTCAAACACCAAAGCGAACACCATCAAGCTTCACCACTTTGAAATGTTTCCATGCTTCAGAAATAAGTTTTCTTTTACCTCCTTCATCAATAACTTCCATGGTAACTTCATCAGACTGCATAAGCCTTTGACTCTCAGTCTCAATAGGAAAAGCATTTGAAGATAAACACATTGGATTTTGTTCGTCTTGAGACTCCATAATTTTCTATAAAAAATTAATAAAAGAAATATTAAGTAGAGATATGGGACTTAAATTACTAGTACTAATAAAAAAATTTGACCCCATCATATTCTGCAGGATTAATACCTAAAAGAATAATCAGTTACAACAATGAACAATCCGATGCTTAAATGGCTTAAATTTTAGTATTTCACCACAAAAGGAACTAAAATTTTTGGACTAACTGAAACTAAATATTAGTATAATCTGCCTCTTAGAAGTAGCATCCTGCGCCTGCAGCAATATTGGAGACTCCTAATTATTTCTCTTCAACTATTCTCCTTGTTCCCTAATTTCATTGTTCATGCACATTTTGTAGATTGAAAAACAAAGGTATCCAATGAGCTTTGGAGCCAACACACAAATTTGCCGAAAGTTTATAGAAAATATAGGAACTTTTTGTTTTTGAGAAAGAAAAAAAAGATGAAAACTTGCAGGTTGAAATTGTGGTAGTTGTAAAATCAAGAAAAGCAAACCTTATTCAAACAAGAAACAACAAATTATGGTATATGATTTCAAACATAAATCATAGACCATTTGTCGGTAAACCAAAAAGGAGATAACAAAAGTAATCTTGATGGAGAGCCAAAGCAAAATTCAACAATATGATTATTGAATTCGAACTGGGTCATTAGAGTTTGAATAGAAAAAACTTACTAGAGAATGAGATTGTGAGAGACAGAGAGAGTGGAGAAAGCTTTGAGATTGTGCGTGACTTTGTGAAGTAATCCTTTGAGAAATTAGGGCGTTTGTGATTGTGAATTGGGTTTAGACTTTTAGGTCTTAGTTTTGAGGAGAGAGTAGTGTTTTAGGTTTATTTCAAATAATTAAATCCTGACTCGCGACCCGCCCCGCAATAGTTTTTTTTAAATTTAAAAAGAACCCACCTTGCCCCCACAAATGTTGTAACCCACCCTGCCCCGCGACCGCTGAAACCTGCCCCGCACCTGCACCGCCCCATTGCCATCTCTACTCGGGCATACCTCACAATCAATCTTGCTACTTGGGCATACCTCGCAATCACTCATGCCTCCTAGTCACTCAGCACTTGGCACTCGCACTCAGTAGGTACCTACGCTCACTAGGAGTGTGTACAGACTCCGGAGGGGCTCCTTCAGTCCAAGCACTATAATCTGCACGGACAACTCACGTGCCATAATAATAAAGTATGTTACAGGCGGTCAGCCCCGATCCACACTCATCCTCACAAAATCAGACCCTCGACCTCACTCAGTCATAAACCTCTCAAGCCACTCGGGCATTTCAGTAAAACAAGGTATTCAACCCAAANCATTGAGTAATGTGGTTTTAGAAGATGAGAATTGGGTGAAAACATGTGGAGAATTGATCTGGATACCAATTGGCTTGATTTCTTATAGTATGAACCGGTAACTCAAGTATTTTATGAGTTTGATTTCGGTAGCCTGATTTCGTGTTGTTAAACTTTGGTTATTAATTAAGAT